ATTGGAAAAAAAAAAAAAAAAAAAAAAAATAGGTTAACCCTTCAATAACGCGATAGTTATGTTCAGAGGTTAACAAATTTGTTACGTGAAGGAGTTTGAAATGTTGTAGTTGTCGCCCAATTTTAACAAAATCTCAAATTTTTTTTGGTAACTTTAATATTCTAGAAAAAAAAATAAAGATTTTTATGAATATAACAGTCTACAATCTCTAGCCAAAATATTAGACGCACTAAAGATTCAATGTAAAATCTTAATTATCATGTAATACTATACAGCTTTATTGTTTTAACACGACTGAAACCGGTTTGCACTTGCTTACGAACGTGTAACAATCGGTTAACATTGTAATGCAGTACATTAAAAATAAATACACATAGGAAGTATATAAAAATCTAATGAATAAAAACTCCTTACACTTATGTTTAAATGTAAAAGTATATAAACTCGTGCAAAACATGTAATTATTAACAAAGTGCAGTGTGCCTCGTAATTTGGTCTCATTATTATAATATACTAATATAATACCTGATATAATGAATATTCTATATTTATATAATATATCATCTAATTTAACCAATTTTATACACGAACATAAACAAGTTCTAACCGATTTCAGTCAGGTAAAAACAATAAAGCTGAATAATATCACCGGATAATATGATTTTACATAGAATCTTATAGTGCGCCTAATCATTTCGCCAGGTTGATTTTAAAAAAATGTCTTAAAATTGTATGTCGTACTGCTAACTTTTTTTTTCTCAGCTAATATTGAACTAAAAATAATAGTTGTCCTTGTGTAATTCCGAAAAGTAAAGCGATATTACTCAGAGACATGAAACTATTCTTGGAACTAAGAAATTTAGAACTTTTATGGACTATTAGGTTATATGCTCGAAATCGTCTTTCGTTTTCCTTTTTATTTCATCAATGACGTTTAATGATCAATGTGAAGAAAGTGAGATTTTTAATGTTCAGTTCTGTAAATTTGTTGGTTTTTTTTCTTTTTTTTGATGGAATATTATGTTGAATGAAAACGAAATGGCGACGCTTCTAACAAAAAAATCTAAGCACTAATTGCGAAGGTGAAAAAGCATGTTACGCATCTTATTATCGTACAATGAGAATAAGCATCATGCCATATGTAGTGTTTATGTAAAAAATTTAGCAATTAAAGTGAATTTAATACTGATTAACTTTTTAAAAAAAATACAGAATCAAAGAGCTAAATGTGAAAAAGTAAAATTGTTCTCGCTTCCATACTGTATTATTCGTGTTTATCATGTGGCAATAGTTTTAAAGGAATTTTATTTTACAACCGTCGTTGAGCAGCTGACCCAATTTTGAGTTTATGGCTACCATGATACATGACTGATATATTATCTGAAATAAATTATTACGATTAACTAATAATCACCTTTTTTGAAAAAATTATATAATCTTAGCCAGTAATCTCCATTTGAAGACAAATAGTAATAATAGTATTTTCTGTAAATATACTTTAAAAAAAAGGTTACATTAATGTTTCTTCTTGTCTTACCTGATTGACTAATATCTTCTTTCTGTGTAATATTTTGAAAAAAAATACCAATGGAACAAAGTGAAATTTAAAATTTACCATGAAATGATAAGTCACAATCTTGAAAATGAAATTTTAAACCAAAGTTAATAAATCTTAAATAAAGTTAATGTCTTAAAGGAATTTTAACCTTGATTGCTTAGGGATATTCGCATCGAAATAGTTAAAATAAGTCGAGAATAGCAATATCTATGAATAAAATATCTATGAATATCTTTAAAGAGTCAGTGCTTTAAAAAGAAACTTGATTCGGGTCTATGCAAAATCTCTATCTTCAGAGCCACAACGATTTTAATTTAACGCTTTGATTTACATACAGTTCTTACAATTTATGCATTGAAATATTTTTCTACCGAAATCAACTGAGAGTTTTAATATCATTCGCAGGTCAAGCAGCCTTTGCTCAAAAGACTCACGAAGCCAAAATAGCTCCTGGTCACGCATCGGTAGCCGACGTAAAAGAGACAGCTGAAGTGTCAGCTTTCAGCAGCGCAGCCAGCAGAGACGTCAATGCAGCCAGGACAGACGCTGTTCACGATGGAATAGCCAAGAATGCTCATACATCTCACAAGAGTTACCTCAATGCACCAGGTTGGTACAGAACATCTTGACAACCAATAAGGAACATTTTATTTTTATAATTTATTTCGGTAAACACTTAAATGGAAATCGTCCTTAATGAAAATATTTGTTTATTTAAAGAGAAAATGAGATTACCTTTGAGATGGAATATAAACTAGAAAACAAGACATAGACTATTTTGCACGAGTGATACATTCGTGCAAAATAGTTTGTGTCTTGTTTCTAGTTTATATTCCATAGTCTATGTCTGCGTCTGCGCTCTTCCTTCTAAACAAATTTATATTCAACCGAACTCTATTTTCTAAACCTATTGCGTTAATCTAAATCATTTAGATTAAAAATGTTTACTCATTTTCTGTATGCTTTAATGAAAAGAAATTCGTGGGGATAACTAAGTTGTATTCTGAAATTATATTTTCCGTATTAATAGTTTAGTAAGAGTTGAAATATTCCGTTAATAGTTATTATTATTCCGTAGTAATAGCATAGTAATAGTTATTAGACAGATTCTCTCATACGTTATTGCTTCATCCGTTAAGGAAACTGTCTTAAAGTCATTTCGATAATGATTCGTCAAAAGTAATAATGTTTTCTCTCTCCCGAAAACAAAAATTTATATTTCTAATGTGTATATTAGACTTTGATAAGGTATCAAAAATGTATACGAAGAGCAATAATTTCTGAACACTCTGTTTTAAGTTGGTCATTGAGTATGTTTGGTAGGATTTAAGTGTTGATGACAGAATGTTCATTCTATCTTTTTAGGCATCGGTGGAAGTTCTAAGGTAGCTGAAGTCAACCACCAGAGTTTTGATGGTCCAGGCTATGGCAATCTGCACTACGATTCTCAATCAGCTGATGAGGCCTACGACGCTCATGGACGAGCAGCAGCCAACGAGCAAGGATACAAATTGGATCAAGCTTACGACGCTCGTGTAAACCTCGGAGCCAGCAACGAGCTTCAATACAGTCGCCACGCTGCACATGATCCCTACGGCAACTACGGTGCAGTTACACAAACAAAACAGTCAACTCACGGGGGTCAACTAGTCCCTATTGTACAGGAACAGCCAGCTGTTGTTATTCCTCAGCCAGTAGTCTACAGCGAACCAGAACCTGTCTACCAGAAACAAACCTCTTATTATGAGCCAGCTCCAATTGCTTACCAAAAGAAATCAGCTTTAGTTTACAATGAGCCAGTTCCTGTTATTTATCCTAAACAAAGAGCTTTAGTCTATGATGAGCCATTACCTGTTTCATACCAAAAGCACTCGACGCTGTACTACGAACCACGAGCCATTTACAAGCAGCCTGTAGTCTACGGGAAATCTCATTATTCCGGCGATGGGTATTACCGCCATGGTTATTAATTTGTGACACCACAAACAAACTTTCGACGATTATTTCTGTCGCTTAAATGCAAGAACACACCAACTTTCAAACTACAAAATACTGCCAACTATGTTTTAAAGTATTGCAATAAGTACGTTCTGCTTTCTAACACGGCATGAGTTTTAAAAAAAGCGATTATCTGTCTGGCTTTCTCACAGATAATCAGAATGCGTGAATTTCAGTCAAGCATTGATATTGGTTGTTCTTGCATTTAAACCTTAGATTTTTAATTTTTTTTTTTAAAACGGTACTTGTAGATTTTTTTAAAGTTCTAGAAGTTTTTTTTATTTTCTCTCATGGAACTGTCAAAATAGATTCTTTTTTTAAATCAGTTTTCAAGGTAATTTTAATCCGTTAACACGTGATTCAGGAAACACGAGATTCAGATAAAAAATGTAGCTCAAAAAGAGTGAAATAAGTCCATATAAAATTTCTATTAAAGCTTTTATCATGCCTATTCACGAAGTCTGCTTTGCACACTTCTGCACAGTTTAATAATCATATAGAAATTAGTCTATTTTGTGTATCTGTAAACATTTTTAAATTATTAATGATAATCCAGTTAAACACACATTGATATCGATATCACAAGCAACTACTTTTATTGATATCAATGGCAAACCCCCTAAAGTGATAACGATTTATATAAAATTACATGTTTTCTGAGGAAATTGAATAATACATTTAAAATAAAACCTTTATGTTATAACTCTCTTTTTTTTTTAAATAAAAAACATTGGTGATCTTATCACAGGTAAAAATTTAATCAATTTGTTAATAAAAAAAAGGATTTAAAATTCTCCGCAAATGTGATCATTTGTGACAATAGAAGTTTAGAGGATTTTTGCTACGATAAATTATTGTGACTATGTAGTACTTCTGTGGTGTTATAATTTTAAACCAAATAAAAAGATTTACTGTAAATATTTGAAATTTTCTTTAATTACTTATTTTTAGGAGCCGCGCACTAATGTTGACAAAATAACTGTTGCGAGCAGTCTGCAAACTTATTTTATTTCACAGATACACAATTCCGAGTAAATGCACATGATTTGACAAAATATTTTAATTTTTTCCTTCCCTGTAAATATCATATTAGTTTTATGGCTACTAAGCAATAAGTTGATGATCAACATGCTAATATCCTGCAATATTTTGAACTAAAACATTTAATATTGAACCCATCAAAAAGATAAAGAATATCTTATTTTATTTTATGACCGTCGTTGAACAGCCGACCCAGTGTTGAGTTTACGACTGCTAATGTTCAACTAGGTATCCTTGTAATTTTGAACCCAATCCAGAAGACAAGGGAACTCCTGGATAAGCACCACCAGAGGTATGATTTGTTATGGGAACATGGAGGACTTTGTGACTCTACAGATTTAACGTGCATCAGTCACTATTTGCTACACGGGGAGTCTTGTTTCAGCGGGGATCGAACCCAGGACCATTTGGACATGGACCCAGTGCTCTATCAGCCAGGCTACCCGGCCCGATAAAGAATATCTAATTTTATTTTATAACAGTCGTTGAACAGCTGACCCAAATTTATGGGTTTACGACTACTAATGTTCAACTAGGTATCCTTGTAATTTTGAACCCAATCCAGAAGACGAGGGAACTCCTGGATCGAGTATTGGGAGAAATTTGCCTTCATGGAGGACTTTTTGATAGAGCTAACCCGCATTAGCGTTACATGGAGAGGAAGACCGCGAGAACTTCCCATGGTTAGCTTGACGGCAAGGGGACTCTAATCCATGATCCGTCTACCACTGAGGATATTTCACGTCAGCACTGCGGTCGGTGCAAGCCGGATGCGGAATTCGTATCTACTGAGCTCGCCCCATTGGAAGGCGAACGCTCTATCCCCTGAGCCACCGCAGCTCGATGAGGAATATCGTCGGGACTTAAGGTCCAATAACTATATTTAATACTTTCATTGGTCGGAATGGCCTGGTGGCAGCTCGATGGACTCACGTCTCTGAGAACGGCCAAAGACTCCCCGTGTAGTAAATGGTGACTGGTGCACGTTAAATCTTTTGGGTCAAAATCCTCCATGTTCCCATAACAAATTATGCCTCTGAGGGTAATGAATTGGACATTGATCGTTCTCTGGTTCAAAGAAAAATTATGATCTGTGGATAGATGTATAAATGGGTTCGTCCAGGTGTGATGCTTGAGTGTGGCAAAAGTCGAATTCTTGGCCATAGAAGGCGCCACTTGAAAACAAGAACAAACGCACCACTTGCCTTAAGAGCCAACAACAACGCTTTCATTACGTCAGTTTGCTCCTCTGAAGAGACGCCATTGAATAGTGCAACGCGCCGCGAAGTGTACACATTACATGTCGGTAATTTGTTGGTTTGAATTTTCCTATTTACGTCTTACATATCAGTATATTTTCAGATTTCGCCAATATTATAAGTAAAAATGCAATTCAGGATAATTCAAGAACAATTGTAGTAATTTAATTCACTATGATAAATTTTGAAAACAGGAGCAGGTCTACTAACTAAGTGCAGCAAGTCGTACTCCAATATAAACTTAATATTAACTGAATAATGTATTTTAACCCATTGGCAAAATGGGTCTTGTTTTGGATTTGATGGCGTGTGCACTTTACTTGGACGTCATCGTCCTTTTCAACTGTGTTCAAGAGTAATAGTAAGTCATGAGTCGTCATTGCATGTGTTGTTATGGCGACCGCTGCTGCTTGATAATTTTTTTTTAGAATTCTTTTTCTCTTTTTATATTCTCTCTTAATGTATTTACTTAATAATAATTTAAAGTATTTTTATATTCTTTTTATTATTAACTAACAATTACTGTCTTGACGGTGATTTCAATATAAATATGAATACTGAAGAAGTATTTTGTGACGTCTTGAAACTCGTATATAGCCAGGATTTGAATACCAATCCGACGACAAACATTCATTGAGACAGTTTTTGCAACCCATGATTTGAAATGTTGTGGCTTTTAACGGAGTCAAACCAGAAAAAAAAAAGCATTTGATCAATGGGTAACCAGGGATCGTAATAAAACAATCACAATTTTTTTAATTAAATTTTTTTTTTTTTAATATTTTGCCCTGTACTGGTTACTTATTATTACATTGAATTGTACGAGTTGCTGTATGATTAAATGATTCGTCTAGATGGTAGATTTTACTGGTTTTACTCATAGCATTAAAAACAACGGTACATTTATGCGAGTTAGCTTTTATGAGGAAATTACACATTCGCAAACATTACATTGAATAAATGTACTTTTAATAATTCATACAATGTTTATCCGTAAATAAGTGAAACATGACATAAACAAAAATCAAAATCAAAAATAATTTACAAGATATTACAAATATACAAGTCTTAATTATGTAGTAAAGTATTCGACAACATTTTTGCCTCTGTTAGTGATAACGGTGCCAGAACATATAGTAACAAGTGTATTCCGACAAGTAAAAAAAAAACATTATTTATGAAATATGTCCTAGCGTAAAATAATAAAAAAATAATCGAAATATTTAAAAAATAATGTTTAATATGTGTTCAAAATGTATGTTTCTTACCTTGATTAAAGTTTGATAATTATTTTATAATTAAAAGACTGAATTAGTTAATCAATGATTCATGCAGCTTTGGTGTAGAGAAAAAAGAAAACGAAATGAAACGTAGCTGGATACAACTAACAGGATTTATACTTGGATAACGAAAGCGACAATTAATGTTACCTTTTCCTAGATTCAAATACCATTATCATTTGCAAACCTAATCTGGAAAGTATTTAACCCCTTCCTTGAAAATGACGGGGTGAGGTTTCGCCCTTTATTTCTGGCTCCCGTGAAATTTCCGGACTGGAGTTTTCAGTAGTAATGCGGCAATAAGAATAAAACTAATTCTCTAACTCTTTTGCCCGGAAAAAATTTTATTTCTCATTTCACACACCAGGTGGCAGTATCAGGATATTTTTAAAGTAATTGTAGATAGTTAGTTTATTTTAAACTAGCTACCAGCACTAATCAAATACGTGTATTTGGCAAAAAAGGCACTTTTATGACCGTTTTCTTGAAAATTTACCAATCGTTAAGGGGTCAAGCTGCTTGTCGTAACTCTGTTTTGATATAAAAACTTAACTAGATAATCGTACATTTTGCTGAGTTGAGTTCAGACAAGATGAAACATGAATCCAACAACATTTAATTTAAGGCCTTCTTTTAGACTATTTCAAAACTGCTAGTCGTCGCTGCCTTTTGATACAAGACATCTACATCTTTGATTTTGCCGAGTTAAGTTTCAAACAAGATAAAACATGAATCCAACTACTATTTATTGAATGCATTCATTTAGTACTTTGCCTTCTTTACCTCTTTCCTGAGAAGCGGATACGTAGTTCATTTTCTCTCAAAAATCATTGAAATTGCTTGATATTTTTTTCAAGGATTTTTGGAATGTTAAATTAAAGCAATTGAAAAGGTTAAATCCATTTTACGAACGCGTATAAAAAGTTTTCATAAATACCTTTTAAATGTTCATTGATTTCATTCGTTTGCTTTCAAGGAAAACCAAATGACTTCTTTTCATTGATATTTTATTTATTTTAAGAGAACTATGTGAAATCTATCTGCATTTTATTAAAAATGCTATCCATTAGGGAAAAAAAAACGATTACAAACACATCTTTGGCACAGCCGTAAATATTCCATTCAATAAAAAAAAAGAAACAAAAAGAAAAACAACATATACTTGCGGCAAATCTAATGCGATTGCGTGTAAATTTTGCTGGAAATGCCTGATATTCTTGGCATAAGTCATTAATATCGTTATCATACTGGCAAATTTTTTAGTAGAAAAACAATGACTTATGCCTGATATTCTTTACATAAGTCATTAGTATCATTATGTTTGACATATTGTTATGTTACTAACAAATTTTTTAGCACAAAAACGCTAAAAATTTTAACAATTATTTTATTATAATTTTTTTTTTTTTTTGCAATAACATATCGTTCTAACTTTTGTTCTTAACAGCATTTGGTTTGAAATTCACTAAACTATATCATTTTAAAGTAAGATTTTCCCATTTAATTTAAACTTATAACATGTTTTAATGCTTAAATAAAAACAACAATTTTACAAAGCATAAACCTCGCAATTTGTTGTTCCATATTTTAACAACTTAATTCTTTGCAATCGTATCTCTAATCTCAGCAAACGCAGCGAATAAAAATGCTGATCTCATAGTATTGAACTACTGTTCTCTCAAGTCGATAGATTTTGAAATCATCTGAGTAATATTTTACGTATTGAAAAACCGTTTTTTCTTCTTAAAAAAGAGTGATTTTTTTCCTTCATTATTCTACGTATTATAGACGTTGAACTAAAATTAATTCCAATTAGTCAGACAGCTATTTATAAACTTAATGCGTTTGCAAGGAAATAAAGAAAGAGAAGTTGACTAATTTTGTAGTCATCACTTTGTCACGCCTTCACTGTTAGAAATTTCCCGGGAAAAATGATTAAGTAACAATTTATTGAATGGCTATTTTACCATATTTAATTAAAACAGTCAAATAACCATAAATAAAATGGTAATCAAGTTGTTAAGTTTGAGAAAAACTGTTTATAAACTCATAGCCGAGCTGGCTTATCTGTCAATCTCATAACCGGCAGAGCTTGAGTCCGAGTGTTGACACCACAATGTTTTCTTCACTCCCTTCAATACATGAAGAATTTCCAGTGTCCGGCACTCTCCAATGCCCATTACCTTACGAAAAGCCGAGCTCCTATGCCTAGTTAAATATTAAATTTTTTTTTATGTTTTTGAAAATGGTTAAAAAACCGTATAGTTTTGTATTCATGGTTTTATAACCATACTTTTTGTAAATGGTTTCAAAACCATAAAAGTAAAAAAAATGTCCATAAACTTTACAGTTAATCGGATGGACAGGCAGCTGCCAGTTATTTTACCATAATTTTAGAATGAAAATTTTAACAGTGTAGCAGCAAAGTGATTACTTTGTCACGACTTGTATATGTGCTATGATGTTAGGTTTGCCGCAAGTATAAAGCTCTCAGTACACATTTCGTAGCGCTCAAGTTAATTGTTAAGAACAAATACATATCTTGCAATGAGGTAATATAAAGAACTCACATTTATAACAAATACATTCAAAATATAGGAACATATGAAAACTATTCGCAACTGATTATGTTCTAGTTGAGACAGTAATAAAAACAGATTGAGAAAAACAAAGTTTAGTTCGTTCACCAGGAGTTGGCACTAGGCTCTGTGCTTTCCTCACGTAGTATCCGACGATTCTATTTCGTTATTTTGCAAAGAAGGATGTGAACAATCCTGAAACAAGGTTGCTATTTGTCGATCGTATGACAAAAATATTTATTTCGCTATCCTTATGAGCATTTTCTTAACATTAAATATTTCATAAATTTGCTGATATTTCTCTCTTTTGAGTGAATAGTTTATCCTTTTTGAGACATTTTGCTGCAATATATTTAATTAGCTAGAGTAACGAAAGGTATAATAGCAGATGATAAAGCGAAGTAAGTGACTGAAAATGAAATCACTGTTTGTGTTTGGCGCGCATTAAGGGTTGTCTGATTTTCAAAAGCGGAGACGTTTCTCATCCCGCCCTGAAATGAACTCTTCGTCCGAGGGGGTGGAGCCAAGTGCCAACTCCTGGTGAACGAACTATATTTACACATACATCCTCATAAATCCTATTTCATCCTTTTTAGCACTCCGGCCCACACAAAAATATTCGTTTTCTTTCTTATTAATAAATACCCTGTTGAATTTTAATCTAGTCTTTTCTTTGTTCCACCGATGTCAAATCTTTATCTTCAGGTCAACTTCAGTTTGATCAGTTGATATTTGACCAACCAGTTTTGATCATTATATTTATAATACGTGATTTCACCAGCGTCTCCCACTATGCTGCATATTACCATTGTTCCAGGAAGGGTAAGGTTTGTTCTGGAAGGAAATAATATAATTTTTAATGAAGAAAAAACAAAACAAAAACGAACAACTTAATTATCGTTCTTACGTTCTGCAATCCTTAACACATTCAAATAACTCTGCAAAAAACTATTTTCTGGATCTTAGCAATATGAACTTGTTTCTACTTCGATTTATTAAACTTTTAAATCTCCAAAAATTTCTAATCGAGTTTCTCTTAAGAGGGCGTTATACTGTGCTTTCAACCTTCATTAGTAATTTAAAATTTGAAGTCTAGAAAAAGTGAGATCAAATCAAAATAGGGAAGACCATCGGGTGACCATGAATAGAGAAGACCATTTGATGAGACGCGGTGCCTCGGAGGATCGAGTGTCAGTCGCAAATTATCCTCAGTGGTAGATGAATCATGAATTAGAGTACTTTTGCAGTCAGGCTAACCGTGGAAGGTTTTCGTGATTTTCCTCTCCATGTAAAACAAATGTGGGTTAGTTCCACCAAAAAATTCTCTAAGAAGGCAAAATTTTCCGCAATACTTGACTCTAGGAGTTCGCTTTTCTTCTGGATTAGGTTCAAAATTACAAGGCTACGGAGTTGAACATTGGTAGGCGTAAACTCAAAATTGGGTTGGCTATTCAATGACGGTTATATTAAGAAAATTTAAATGGTGAAGAATATTCAAACTATTAAAATGCAAACAAATTATGGCAGGATTATGTAGAGGCAAAGTAATTCTGCTATTGAATTTTGATATTTTGAAAGTATTTTTTCAGCATTTCAAAATTCATGGTTTTCTCTTAGGTTTACCTGCATTCACTTTCTAAAGTATACATTTTGAAATGCCAATGGAGGTGGAATGGAATCCGCCTCCATGAAAAGTATTTCCCTGATATAGCGTCCCCTTAATTTTCTAAGGTGAATTGAGATCCTTTTGCCTTCCCACAATTCATTATTTTTATAGCTAGATGTGTTAAATATTTTTTCTCAAAAATTTTGGTAATGACTGAAAATTTTTTTTCTCTTTTCGAAGGATTTTCGATTAAAAAAACTGTCCCAAATTTTTTTCTTTTTTTGTCGTTAAAAAACTTGATTTAAATCGCATAATTGCTATGATTCCATTTGAAAGTAACAGAAATTTATTTACCTTCTGTGGATATAGTGTAATTATCGACAATGTCAACCTTCATCTATGAAAAGGTACCTCTCCACGGAATCGAGTTAACATGTCTTATATACCAGTGAATTGGAATTATATTTTTGTAGTGGTAGATGCACTACGGTAATCCCCCACCAGAATTATATCTGTGATAGAATTCGATGAATGGATACCACTAGTCGATTTATTGCTGTTTTGTGAGAAACCGGGAAAAATATATTAAGATCACCAGACTTTTTGAGTACTGATCGTGAGAGCTGTATTAAGTTCACGAGGGCTCCTGTGTTGCCATTAGCAATCGAGTGTATGCGTTGTGTGTGATCGAGACTGAGAAGCAACAGCGTGAGGAGGACAATGTCGCAGTCACAAGTAGCAAGTCAACTGTTTAATCCTCACTATCCATCGAAGTAGGCGTGTTCAAATCGTAGTGGGCACTTCTGCCAAGGTAGGCGTGTTTACATAACGTCCAAAGGATACCAATGTGGGGAGAGTTGTTATCGTCAATGTCAACCTTCATCTATGAAAAGGTACCTCTCCATAGAATCGAGTTAACATTGTCTTATATACTAGTGTATTAGAATTATATTTTTGTAGTGGTAGATACACTACACTCTCGTATGTAAATTTAATTATTTTATAAATTTATTTATTCTCAAAAATTGTTTATACTTACTTCTTGTCGATCAAAGTTCCTTTGGGCATTCACTTGAGGTCCTTTCATCCTCATGATATCGTGCGGTGGATAAAACGCATTGTTATATGTACTTTCCATTTGATTACGATTCCATCTATCGCCAACGTCATCTCGATTTCTCCACACTGCAAATTGATTCGCACTTATAGTTGGATAGTTCTTTGGCGGGTTGGCAACATAGGGTTGGGTATTCATGGTGTTCTTTCTTTGCGGAGGATTGTACATTGATTGCTTATCTCGTTGCAAGTCTGTCCAGAAAGCCCGATTTATTTGACTCGGAGCTTGTTGAATAGGTTGTTGTTGGGGAATTGGCTTAATGTCATTCCTCGGAGTGGTCAACTCATTCCAAAACTTATTATCTGACTTTTTTCGAAGCCCTCTTAAATGGGCTGTCCAGTTGTTGTACCTCGGTTTCAGAGGCTGCCCTTGTTGATCTCGGACCACTCCGACTGTTACTTCTCGCCAGGAAGGGACACTAGTCACCGCGTGGTCTCTCCTGTTTTTCAGGTCAATCAAAACGGGTAAAGAAGTGACCACTACGACATCTGGCTTTGAAGGATTCACTGACATTCGCGAAGCAAGGTATGGTGCAAGAAGATTACCACTTTGTGGGGGAGTTGTTGTGGCTTTCTCAGTAGTTGTGGGTACCGTTGTTGTTGTTGTTGTTATGGGAGTTGTGGTTGTCGGGATTTCTATAGTGGTGGTCTCTAGGGATTGGATTTTAGCTAACTCATTATTGCCATCAAACTCTGTGTTGTTACAATCTTGCGTTGGTAAAATATGCTTCTTTAGCAAAGAATTGTCGATGTTGTCTTCTGTGGACAAAACTAAAGATAACTGGTTCTGAAAACTCAAGCACTTAGTTGTAGTAGCTGTGGGGTCAGTTTGCAACAATATCGTGTTCGAATCTGTTGTTTGAGCAGGCAAATGCGATAGAGGCGTTGTTTGGACTGATTCCGTAGTTGCTGTCGAGCTCTCAGCACTTGTTGATACTTCAGGCCTTTCTGTCTGAAGTTCAGAAGTACTTTTTAGGGGCAGAGCTTGTACAGGATCATACTGCTGCTGTAGTGAAGACATTTGTCCAACAGTCATGACAAAAAATGGGTTTTCATTGTCATTAGTAGATTCTTCACTTTTATTTGAAACATCCGGAATCGCTGTTTCAGTTGATAGCGTTACTGGGATAGTTGCTGTTGTTTCAGGGAGTAGGGATGTAGTTTCCACTAACGGTATGGGTCTCACTGTACCATCAAGAGACTTCGTTGAAGTGTAGGAAGGTGTCACAAACTCATGATCCTTATGACTTAAATCTTCGTCACTGTACAAGTCGTCACTTAGCTTGGTGTCTGAGTCGTCCTCTAAATTTTGTTCCTTAAAAGTTGGGATCGCTTCTACACGCTTATATGACACTTCGAAGCTTTTTCCATCGTTAAGAATGTCGCTCGGGTTGTAGTCATACGATTCGTCTTCCATCTTTAGATCTTCATCAGAGCCGAATTTGACTTCTTTGGGCTTGACATGCAAATGCAATTGGAATTTGGAAATGAGTACAGCCGTACCATCAGGAAAGAAGCGAAGTAACAAAGCCGGTTTTCTTTCAAAATAAGGTTCTTCACTCTCAGGGATTTTATCCCTTTTCAAGACTACGGGTGGCTTCGTGTTCCTTTCTCTCTCTTTGTTTCTCGAAAATTCTTTGCTAAAAGAAAATAAGTCATTTTTGTTTTTTCTAGGTCTCATGGGTGTTTCTGTGGGGCGTAACCTTATCTTAGAGTTTTTGGCATCTACAGTTGAGTCTATTTTTAGTCTTTCTGAGTCACTCTGCAAGTCTGCGCTTGAAGAATTTGTCTGTTCTTTTTTCGCATGATCATTGTGTTCATTTAAGGTATTAATGCTTTCAGGTAAGATTTTAGGTATGAGCAGGGAGGAATTTTGTGCTTCCACCTCAGAGCTGGCAGGAAGGGAGTAACTTGACTGGATAAAAAGGATGCAGAAAATAAATACTTTAAGAGACGCCTGAAAAGAATTTCAAAAGTAGTCATTTTAAAACTTTATGGAAATTCATTTTGTAGATATTTAATAAAATGTTAAAAACATTAGTGTACCAAAAATTAAGATTACAAATATAAAACAAATTTGACAATAAAAATGGAAAATACTACAATGTAATTTGGACACATAGCGTGCTCGAAAACAAAAATTTTCATACTTTAAAATTGCGGATTTTTCAAGCATTCCTAAATTTAAAACTAGAATAATTTTTGGTCCCGTAGTGGACTGATCGTTAAGACACGGTTCCCAGCAGATCACCGAAGTCAAGCATCACTGGCTGCCGTCAGTGTGCGGGTGGGTGACCACTTGGATCAGTCTGCGTAGGGTCCGAGGGTGTGCGGTATGGGTCCTCGTTAAACTGTTCTACCGTAAAGTGCTCGGTTTCGCGTGCAGGTCGTCGGGCTACCGAAGCGGGGGTGCCATCCCCTCTGCAGAGGATCAAAATTGTGATGGCATGTCCTCGGATCATCCTGAGGGATGTTTCCCAGACCGTCGCCAATAGCCCATTGTGTAGCTCTAGTGAGACGTAAATGAACTACAAGAACATGAATAATTTTTGAATGTTTCCCTCTATCCTAAACAGAAAAATTTTACAGATTCTTTGACCAATTTATCACAATTTTGGATGTATGCTTAGGATCATTATCCTGCTGACACATTCACAAAGTACAAAAATTCTATTTGTTGCGATGTCAACAAAAAATTTAAATACTATTAACAAAGGGAATGAACATGCATGTTTACAACTATTCAAATGAAAATTGATTTTGTGCAGGGCGGAGAAAGCTTGAACAAAGAAAGCTTGGGGCAGAAATGAAATGGAAAAGTCTATTTTAACAAATTAACATTTTTGCTTTAACTATGCTTTTAATTTACGTAGGTTTATTGATAAATTGGAGCTATATTTTAGTTTTAATGTGCTTCATAGTTAATGCCAGAGAGAGAGAGATGTATTTTATGAAATAAGATCTGCCTGCTGTACACTTTTTAAAAAAATTTTCCATCATTTTTCTTTATTTTTTTTAATACATATTAAGAGTTCATATTGGAATAAAGAACTCAAAAATGTTGTATTTACAAACACTAAATTAATATAATGTATGAATTATTGTTAAGTCATTGAGGGATTTTTATGATTATAATTGAAAGGAATTTATAGTGAATAGAATTATTTATTTCAAATGTTATTTCTACGCAGCATAAAAAACAAATCGTTATGCATATAAATTTAGTGAAATCAAACGTTTCAACGTTTCACAATCAAACATTTCACAAGATATGTATGTTGTTTATTTTTAGAAAGAGTTCAACCATTCATTCAAAGCTGGACTAACAGAGACAATTTACCAACAAACGAGCGAAGCAACTCGAGAAAAAAAATACTTATGTATTAACAGCACAAAGTATTATTAACAAAATAGCGTATGATGACATCAGAAAAAGTGATAAAAACACATTAACAAAATGTGCTTTAATAATTTAATAATTATATATTTATTAACAAAACGATATTTGCTTTTAAAAAAAAATATCGAATTATCAAGGGACGGTGAGTGCAACGAATAGGGGACGGAGCCTCCCAGACATTTAAAATATTTGAAAATAAAAATAAGATTTCTCAAATTAAAATAAATTTATGTTTGTAATACAAATCAATACAATATAGGGCACAAGGGCGCCAGCAGAATAATATAAAAGGGAGTGCAACCCTCTAACAAACTACCCCCCCCCCAAAAAAAANCCCCCCCAAAAAAAAAAGTTAAAATATTCTGTTATTACACTTTGTTTTGTTATTACATGTACTTAGATCTGCTAATTTTTTTCAAGATACATTTCTTCATTGTTAACAAGATATTTAAGAAAAAATACAAATTTCTTGTGCCTGCAAATTTTGCCATGATAAACTGTATTGATGGCGCTGGCATGGCTATTGACTTAGAAACACAAATAAATACAAACAGTAGTTTCGTATACTAACGTGTTTGTGTACGCTTAATATTGGTATTTATTGTGTTATTTAAGTGTTACAGTTGTGAGAAGTCAGTTTGTGTTATACACCTTTGTTAAACTAAATAACTAATAGAAATTAAAATATTACTTATATTTTATTAAATGAAATTTAAAAATATAGCTTAGATATCTGACAAGTTTGTGCATGCTCAGAAAAAAATCAAAGATGACTCAGAATTCATTGAAAAAGTTATAAGCAGATTTGGACAGCAAACAAGACGATCCCAATTCTTGTTTAATTCAACAATTTTTTAATTGTTATGCATTAATAATTACTTAATTATTTGTTTTTTTAAAAAAATATTTTCAATAAAATTTTTTATAACAAAATTGCTTTTCTGTATTTCTTTAATTGTTTTTTTTTAAAAAAAAAAGCCAGGGGGTGCAAGTGCACCCTCTTGCACCCCGCTGTCGGCTCTCTTGACAGGGCAGATTTAACGAAAACTACCTGCCACAAGGGAACTAAATACGATAGATGGCGATTATAATGGTTTGCATATTAGGAAGCAAACAATTTTCTTTTAGCTATTGAATCTCTTAATCCACTAATTAATTTAAGAAACAAAATTGCTAATAAATGGTAATCGAATTACCTAAAATTAAAAATAATTAAATTAAAAAAGTAGCTGTGGTGGGTCAAGGGATACAGCGCTCGCCTCCTAATTAGGTTACCCGGGTTTAAATCCCAGCGATGAACTATAGCACCGACCACAGAGCCGAAGTAAAATATCTTCAGTATTACAGTCCCTGGTTGATTATTATTAGACGCACTGTTAGAGTCGATGTAAAATCTTAATTATCAGATGATGCTATTCAGCTTTACTGTTTTATGTGACTGAAACCAGTTCCCTTCAAAATTAACCAATTGCAAAACCAATCTTTAAGATCCATATTCCATTGCAAGCTATAGTTATTTCAATATAATAATTACAAAGACAATGTCACAACTCTATTTTAAAATTGATTTTTTTTATATTATAGTCTTATTTCAATAGTTTCATTACAGTATTTCAATATTCTAATTTCAATATAATAGTTCAAAAATATTTCATCTCTGAGATCAATATTCCACGGCAATCAAACAGTTGATTCAAAATTTTATTTAAGAACAAACATCGTTATTTCATTTCAATGTTACAATTGTTTTGAAATGATAGTTCTGTTTCAATAGTTCATTACGATTTTTTACTACTATAGTTTCATAACTAATACAACAATTCTAGTAGTAATGATTTACTTCCAAAATCAATATTCCATTTCAATAGTTCTATTTCTTTATTAAAAATTCGTAACTGATATAATAGTTCTGAAACAAATTAATTTAGTTCCTAAATGTATTTTAATATTCGACATGAGATAAAAATATCATAGTTTCCTTTCATATCATAGTTTACAGTGATTTTAAATTTATTGTACTGTCTCAATTATTTTATTACAGTATTTTAATATTATAATTCCTAAACTAATAATTTATTTCCAAAATCAACATTCTATTTCAATAGATCTATTTCTCTGCTCCAATTTTATAATAGATATAATAGTTCTAAAATTAATTGATTAAGTGCCTAAATAATTTTAGTATTACAGTTCAAATAACAATATCCTAGTTTCATTTCGATATAACAGTTCTTTAAAAATTATAGTTTTTTTTCAGTAGATCCATTACGGTATTTCAATATGAAAATTTCATGACAAGCAGTATAATTTCCAAACTAATAAATTAGTTCCAAAATCAACATTCTATTTTAATAGGTCTATTTCTGTGTTTCAATGTTATAACTGATATGATAGTTCTGAAATTAATTGATTAATAATTTTATTATCCCATTTCAGTATAATTCAAACAACAATATTTTAGTTTCATCTCGATGTAACAGTTCTTTTAAAATTATAGTTCTTTTTTCAATAGTTCCATTACAGTATTTCAACATTATAATTTCATTACAAGTAGTATAATTCCCGAACCAATAATTTAGTTCCAAAATCAACAATCCATTTCAATATTTCTATTTTTGCGATCCAATTTTTAACCAACGTTAATAGTTCCAAAATTACTTTATTTTATATCTAAATGAATAGTCTATTTCAATATTATAGTTCAAATAACAATATCGTAGTTCAATTTTAATATTGGAGTTATTTTAAAATTTTAGTTCTATTTTATTAGTTTCGTTACAGTATTTTGATATTATAATTTCATAACCAACGTAGCAGTTACAGTATTAATGACTTACTTACAAAGTTCTATGCCATTTTAATAGTTCCATTTCAATATAACAATTTCATAATCGACGCAGGTTCAAAATTAGCATAATGGTTCCAAATTAATATTCAATAATTACAATAATACGTTGCTCTTCCATGTAATATTTAGTTCAATATTATAATTTCGAAAACTACATAGTAGTCAGCTTCAAAATCAATATTATAGTTTTTAATAGCAACATAGTAATGACGCTGCTGAAACCGGTTTATACTGGTTTACGTTCGTGTATCAATGAGTTAATATTGCAATGCAATACGTTAAAAGTAAATACAAACTGGAAGTATATAAAAAATCTAATGAATAAAATCTCATTGCATGTATGTTTGAATATAAAAGTATTTCATATAACATCGTGCAAAACATGTCATTATTAAAAAAACTACAGTGCTTCTAATAATTTGGTTTAATTATTATAATATACTAATATTATACCTGATATAAAAATAATCTATATTTATATAATGTATCGTCAAATTTATGTTATATCTCGTCTAATTAAAACAATTGATACGCGAACGGAAAAAAGTGCAAACCGATTTCAGTCGCATAAAAACAATAGTATCATCTCCTGATAATTAAGATTTTACATAAAATTTTACAGTGTGTCTAATAATTTGCCCAGGAACTGTATTTACTGTAGTGTTTAAATAAAATTTACTGCGGACTGAGTAAGTAAAATTGATTGATTTAATTTTAAACTTTTAGAATTTAAAAAAAAAAGAAGAAAAGTAGTTATAAATTCTAAATTAACCACATACCTTGTCAATCATGATCGTACGAGTGACTAACAGCGGTGCCATAGCTCGAATGGGCTTCTGTTCGATCATGGGTCATCTTTTCTTTGATGGTTAAAAAATTCAAAAACTATCGCTTACAGTGACCCCCTTTCTCTGACGCATGCGCAGAATCTCGACCCCTCAATATGAAAAAAAAAATTCTTGAGCGCACTTCATTGAACACTGGAATAGAAAGTATAGATAGCCATATCTTTTCCTCTATCGCTCTTTCTCTTTCGACATTTTCCCCCTTTCTTTATAAACTGTTCCAATTGTTGATTAGAATAAAAGATATTTTAAATGATATTTCCGCTTGTTTCAAGAAGTGAAGAAGATCATTAAGTATTCATATTCTTTAAGAATTCTTCTGCGTGCAGACGATATATTTACGTTGGATTAGGCATGATTTAATTGATATGTTGAGAAGGAAAGTCACTGAAATTTTCATGGAAAGGGAAATAGTGTAATTTTATTTATTTTCACTGCAAAAATCCTAAAAATTTGTTCGAAAGTAAAAAAAAAATTTCCGAAAATAAAAGTTTAATCCCATATAAGTATGAAAAAGGACTATAAGGGCGTATGGGACTATATGCTCTCGCATCTCTTTAACAGCGCTTTTTTGTTTTTCAAACAGTGTTGTAACTGAGTTAATCGTTAGAATTTAGGTTTAAGGTGAATTTAATTAAGAAATTTTCAATATATCTATCTATCTATCTATCTATATATNCATAGTAGTATATACATAGTAATATATATACATAGTAGTATATATATTCGTAGAATTCATAATAAATTCTCTTGTTTTTCTTTTTAAAAATTATTTTAGGAGCTGATGTTTTTCTTCTAAATGCTGAAAAACCGTGAGGACTCAGGGGATATAGTGATCACCTTCGGATGAGGTGAATCGGGTTCGAATCCCAACGATGGCTGGTCGATACGAATTCCTGATCCGTTTTGCACCTACCACAGTGCTGACGTAAAATATCCTCAATGATAGACGGATCATGAGTTAGAGTCCGCTTGGTATCAGACTAACCGTTTGAGGTTTTTGCGGTTTTCCTCTCCATGTAACGCAAATGCGGGTTAGTTCCATCAAAAAAGTCCTCCACGAAAACAAATTTTTCCCACCACTTGATCCAGGAGTTTCCTTGTCTTCTTTATTGGGTTCAAAAATACAAGAGGCTACGGAGTTGAACATTAGTAGCCATAAACTCAAAATTAGGTCGGCTGTTCAACGACGGTTATTAAACATGTTATAATAAATCAATATTTTATCTAAAGTAATTTGACAGAGACATGATTTTTCACTAAAAGTAAATATAAGTTTACATTATCGGTATTAGGTAAACATATACTAATATATCGTCAATGTGGGGTACAGTATGACCCCACTTCAACTTTATACTAATATTTCAAAAAAAAAAATTATTATAAGAATTGACCTTTTTTAATATGTGTTAGTAATCGCATCTTTTGTTTTGTCAAGGAAATATGATTAAGCATAGTAACAAAAAAAAAATTATTTAGTAGAAAAGATAGATACCAAAATGAAAACATGTTTTCATCCGAATAGCGATGCGCCGTCATTTATGAACCCCGAGTATAATTTGAAATTTAAAATATTTTTGGATCGTAATGATGTTTATCGCAATAATAATAAACGATAATTGAAGACACGTTGAAAGCTTATTTCACAGTATCAGCCTAATTACCGCTTGATAAGAAACATGTTTTTAAGTACATTTCAATTAGCTTACTATTAGCAGCTCATTTTAATAAGCCTGAATGTATGGACTCAAAAAGCCTAAAGAAAAACTTGAAGAAAATTATTGAATATTTCCAAAGAGCAGGGCAGCTGCTGCGGCTCATAGCTTATAAGGAATAGAGAATTCGTCTACCCTGTGATCTAAGTGACCCTGGTTCGAATCCCAGTGGTTGCTGGTTGATACGAATTCTGATCTCGGCTTACACTGATCGCAGTACTAACGTAAAATATATTCAGTGGTAGACGGATTATGGGTTAGAATCCCCTTGCCATTGAGCTGACAGCGGAAATTTTTCATGGTTTTCCTCTTTTTGCAACGTAAATGCTGGTTAGTTTCATCAAAGAGACGTTTGCGAAGGCTAGTTTCTTCTAATATTTGATCCAGGACCTTTTTTTTGTTGTGCCGATAATGTTGGTAGTCAAGAGTCCAAATCCAACGAAAAAAGGTGTTTATATCGAGAAAGTATGTTTTCGTGGCTGATTTCGTAACTTAAATAATAGTTAGCACTAATTAATTAACTTATGCGAGGTCAACCTTTCGAACTATTAAGGTTATCACTCAGTTCGTGAAAATCCGATCATTAGAACAAAAATTATTTAAAGTGATATCTTTATTTTGTGGTCTTTAAAATCTAACAATTTTGAAGTAATAGAATTATTTATCTTTAATTTTTGAATGAACACAAGGATTAAGAAATATATAAAAAAAAATTATATGTCGCAAACACCATTGTAAAAATCAATAAAAATGAACTTATTTACGAAAACTGAAAAAGAGGGGCTATTGGATCAAGATTTCTAGACAAGTATTAGCAGTCAAGATCTCATGATTCCATGAATCTGTAGTGTTCGTCAGTGAAAAGATCGAGCACTTTGGCCCACAGTGCAAATTCTAAGACCTTTAAATGCTTTTTTTTAAAATAACTGCAGTCACTGAACTTTCGTTCTTTGCCTCAGAAGATGCCAGAAGTGTTACTCATTTATCGTTTACTCGATGGGCACCTGTGAACCGAACTCACGAACGCAAGCAACATTACAAACGCTTCACAGCCACAGACGCCCGTTCACAGTGTGGGAAACATTCACACATCACACAACAGAGGACAACATACAGAGAACCATCCATGCCCTGAGCGGGATTCGAATCCGCAGACATTGGCTTCGCAGTCAGGCACGCTAACCACTTGGCCACCTGGCCGGCATATTAAAAATGTAGATTAGACCAGCCAGTGGTTCATAAACTTACTTCGGGTATGCAAGTGATCAAGTTTCTGATTGCTATGAATATCACTATTGCTATGAATATACTAACTAAAGAAATATTACAAATTATTTTGAAAACATTTAGACACATGAATTTGTTTTCGGTGTATGCATATGCTGTATGCGGTATGCATAAGGTGTATGCGAATATGCAATTTAAATGTATTAATTCTATTCGCTGCTTATGCATTAATTTTTATTTTGAATTTGAGATTTTGCTGAAAAATACCGATGGAATATTTTATAAAAACATGTGTTTTTGCATAATTAATTCAATTTTTTGTTTACACAAAACAGCATTTTTTTTTAAATATTTTCAAAAATTTTAAAAAATTTTGATGCTTTTTTTCATTGGCATTTTAATTTAACAATTTCATTTCATTCTCCGGTTGATCTTTTGATAATATGATTCTTGGAATTTCTGTGATCCTTACACGGAACATTAGGATTCCACAGAACACTTTGAAACACTTAACATTAATCAAAGGTGATGAAACAAAAGGAAAATTTTTGTGTTTTAGGTAACATAAAATGAAAAAAAAACTTATAAAAATTTCCCAATCTTACTGTTAAAACTGATTTTCTTATTGAATTATCTTATTAAATCAATTTACATCAAATTATATTATTTATTTGCCTTTTATAACTTATGTATTAGCAATTAGGGTATGGGGCGAATATGTATATCTCCCATTTTCATTTGTTAAGAATTGGGGTCACAAAAATTCTTTATGTAATGATCTCAAATATATACACACAATTTCTTTGCCCCCATGGTTAAATGTGCAAGTTATTTAATAAATGCCAACTAAATCAAAAACTACATTTTACATTGTTTGCAACTGTATATAGTACTTAAAAAGCTTTTTCATTAAAAAGCTTAATTCATTAAACTTAAAAAGCTTAATAAGCTTAAAAAGCTTAAGTTTAATTTATTAAACTTAAAAAGCTTAATTCATTAAAAATAGTATATGATAAATTCAGTTAATATTAATCACTTTAGCAATTTAAGTCTCATTTGAACTATTATTGTATTCGTTTAGATTTTGATTGTTTAATTAATTAATTTATTTATTTATTTGAATAAGGTGGTTATGTTCTAGCTCGCTAAGCTGGTTGTTTCTCGAGTATCTTTGATCCTTGTTTTTTTTTTCTCCTTAAAAGTAATTTTAAGAGGGTAGCATTTTTTACAAAAAAGGAACGTTTAGGAACATTTCAAAAAAAGAAAGATAATTTTGTCTAAAAAAAATCAAGTTATTGTACAGAAAAGAATATTTTTTGTTAAAATGTTAATCGTTGTAAAATGAACGATTACCTTAATTTGAATAAAACAGTCTATACTTGAGAAAAAAAGCAATATAATTTAAGAATATGAAATGTGTAAACCAATAAGGAGTAATTTTACGTATAAACATATTACAACGATAGTAATGTAATAGCTGAATACCACGTTCTTAAGATAATAACAAATAAATCATTGCTGAACAACGTTACGAAATTTTGAACATAACTGAAAAACATATACCAACACAATTAATAAAGATAAAATAACTCCAATATTTTTATTTATTATAAAACTTGTCGCCTCCCGGTGGCTTTGCATTATTAGATTAAGAAAAACACGTTTTTAATAGTTTATCCCATTAAAATAAAGATTAACTGTATTCAATATCATTTTTCATGGATTCGAGACAGATTCATTATTTACCCTAACCAAGCATTTTTAACTGCTATTTATGCTTTTCAAGGGGCCATTAAAATTTTATTTTATTTTGTATAGCAGCTCAAATTAAAAACGATTTTTCTCTCTTTCTTTTATATATTTTTTTAAAATTTCGGTATATATTTTTTACAGATTTCGATTGAATGATAATTCTTTTTTATTCCATTCTACTTCCTGTACATTTTTCTTCAAACTATTGTAATTTCAAATTTTGTAAGTTTTATAGTGTTTGCTCAGCAAAGCAAAATATGATGTAATTTGTACAATGAGAAGTTGTACAATGTTGAAAGAAAAAGAAAAAGTCTATTTTTATTTATTTATTGTTTTGAAACTTTATTTTTTATTTAGATGTAAGCTTTTGAAGCATCATATTGAG